CAAATCATTCTAAGCAAAATTTATTCGATTTCAAACTTTCCGAAGATGGTATACATAAATTTTAACCAAAAGAGGGTCAATTTCGGAAATTAGAACAAAACGTGTTTGTAAAATACCAGTTTGGTAAATCCATGTCTATCAGAGTTCAATTTCCAGGAAAGTTAGGGCTAACTTAAAATGGGTGAGATTTCTACATCAACACCGGGTAAAGTTTGGTCTTCTCCGTCACGTTCTCCTCATACGGTGGTGGCTGATGCTGTAAACAGACATCTTCATAGCGAGGAGGAAGAATGGTAATATCATGTTCTTGATCCTTGACCCATCTTCCAGTTGCTTCAGGCTCCACTTGAGGGGCTTCTGGTTGTGTGCCTTCCTGAGGTCTAGAAATCTCCTGAAGCTTTGATGCCTGCTTCAGCAAATTGTCCGCCTTTTTCTGCCATTTCTTCTGGCGCCAGGATAACTTCTTATGTTGAGATTTGTACTGCAGGGAGAAAAATGCGAAAGGAATCAGTTAGGCTCACTTTAGAATAGACACATCACTTATGATGTCAATGGTAACATTTCAGTATACGTTATTAGGGCTGTTTTTGTACAGCAATGTGAAGCTTATATAGGATAGGTTTGAGGGAGCTGGCATCATCAACGCTTTATGGACTAGGGAAAAAAAAGGGTTGGCGGGATACTGGCGAAGACCTGAAGCTAATACAATTACATGACCAAGAATTGAAGCCAGGTAAAGTACGTCGGTACCATCTTCGAGGTCAAGGTGATGCCCCAACCGGTTTGGTCTTTAGATTACTTCTTAATCAGCAGGGGCCACAATAGAATCTTTCAGTTGAATGAAGTTTCTGTAATTTCTACTTGGGGGATTCTCATCCGAATAGTGGCTCTTTGAGTGACCTGGTGTTAATCGCTGAGTACTCTGTCCAAGAGAGGTCCCCAACTTCACTCCCTCACTCTAGGTCAAGATGGGGCACTTTTGACCATACAGAAGAGGTTCCCTGGGAACGGGGGTGGGGAGCTTCTACTGCATTGAAATACTGAACAGGCATTGGAATGCTCAGTAAATGGTGAGGTCGATTGTGATAACAGGGCAACGCATTATACAACATTCACTACCCGTGTCAGGGGGAGGTGAAGGAGATTACGGCAGTTCTGAGGTAGATTGCTGGAAACAAGTTACTGGAAAGCTGTAATGCATGTTTCTTAATATGCACTGCGAAAAGTTCAAAATAGACAAATGTGGTATTCATGAAAACAAAGCATTAACTCTGCCCTGTAACATGGACGTCCCTAAGGACAACCTTTATGGTGAATTACACATGAGTAGAAGATGTCTAGGTCGGTATGTACTATGATATACAGATGTAGGCAGCGGAACATAAATGAAATAAGTATTGAGGTAGATTCGTGGGAACAAAATGCCAAGGCTCGTTTTTTTTTTTTTTTTTTTGAGGGGGATAATCTAGAAGGGAATCGAAAAAACGGGATAAGAACCAAATAAAAAAGATGGGGGGCGGGGGAAGAATGAGAGCTGAGAGTCTGAAAAGTTGCACACTAAATAAGGTGATGGCATCAACGGTCGGAAATCATGTGTTCTAACTGTGGTAGACTTTTCTTATAACCGGCGGGTCTTGCTAGTCACACTCGCCATCGACTGTAAGACCCATGCCTCTCATATCATAGTATAACACTATCGTCTGGGAGGAGGAAATGGTGCCAGCAACAACTTTGACACACTTATTTGTCAGGGCTTGTAGGAATACGCCGACGGAGTTAGCTGAATGCTCAACTTCCATCCCGAATGTTTTAGGTTCAATTCCGCTAATTTTTGTTTCTTCAAAATTTACTATGGCTCTGAGGTTGATCTGGCCTAAAACTGGTACAAGGTAATGTCAAGGAAAGTAAAGGCGGCTGGGGTGTTGTTGACATCATCATCAGTCGAGTGCCGAGAGATTTATAAAAAATATGAATTTAGTATCAAAAGCCAGATAGCGTCTGCTGCTTCTTCTTTGCGCTCACCACACGGTGAAGGGTATTCCCTTCTTCTAACGGTAAACTCTGGCATAAAGTTCTGATTGTTCGTCCACTTTGGTCTTGTTCCTGAACTTCAGTTTTACGTGCACAATCATTTTACTGACGTGGATTATAAGTATGCAGACTGTTGGTTCCTCGCCTCGCAGGCAGAAGCACTTCTTCAAACAAGTTGCATTTTGCGACATGTTTCTTATGTGGCAGGGTATACCCTTCTCAGCACCCCACCTCCCCCCCCCACCTCCCTCCCCCACCCCCGACAAGTGGGTCCCGAACCTACAGGGGAAGCACCACTGGCGTACATACGAGCCTAAACTTTATTTAGTTGTTGAATATTGATTTCTCTAGATATCTTTGAAGAAAGAAATTTGCATTTGTTTACTTGGTGACAGTGACCATGTTGGTCAGGGACCTTCCTGAACCAGTTAGCGAGTATTCTGCTATAAAATGGTATACAGCTATAAGA